GGAGGCGAAGCCCTAGAGATGATGACTTAGGATGAGCTTTTGACCCGGTTTAGAGCCAAGTTTACACTAACTATTGAGGTGTAGCAGTTGGCGAGGGAGTTTCAGGACCTTCACCGGATGATTGAGACTGTAGCAGAGATCATTGCCAAGTTCCGAGAAAGAGCTTTGTTGGTTCCGTAGTATGCTGCAGACGAGGAGATGAAGAAATTAAGATATCATGACATGTTGAGAGATGACATCAAGGAGTTTATGAGTTTATCAGGGTGTGAGACCCTGAATGGTATGTGTAACACCCCGTTTCAAAAATAAACCATAAATTCGGGAATATATTTTAAGTATTGTTTTATTCCGATAAATGAAATTCAAATAAAGGGTTTGGTGAGGAAGGGTGTAATTGACATTATTAATTGTCTTGGAGGACTAAAGGGGTACTTTAAGGGTTTTTTGTGTAAAGAATATTTGAGCATGCTACTAAGGGTAAAACATTTGGACTTATTTTGTAGCTATTGGGGTTAATTTGGAAGGATTTTGCATTCCTGTATTAAGGTCTCGCCTGTCTTGGGCCTCGCCCCTGACCTGCTACTAGTGAGTCATGGAACCCCATCCAAGCTCTTGCTGTAAGTGAGATACGGGCCCCTGCCTACACTCACTCCACTCCTATCTCGGGCCTCGCCCCTGCTCTGCTACCAATGAGGTATGGAACACCGTCCATACTCCGCTATTGGTGAGATACGGGACCTCGCCCACACTCACCTCCCTACCAGGCACATACATGTATCACACAGACAACAAGTATAAACTATCATGTAAACCGATCCTTGGGCACCCGCCCGCTAACATTAGACCTTGGTCTTGAATATCATACTAGCATACAGTGCCTAAGGCTAACCCCCGGGTCTTCCAACTCATATCTACATGGGCCGACATTGTGTCCGTAGATATATCCACACAAAAGGGAAAACTCACCTTGCACTGCTGAAACTCTGACTGATACTCTTCTGACCGCTATCTGACAACTCCCCCAACCGCTGCTCCAATAGCTCCCCGAGCTTCAATATCAATATAACACTTAGTCCCAAACTGACCTCCAAAAGTCAAACTAAGTAAACCCTGGTCAAAGTCAAAGTCAAAGTCCTGGTCAAAGTCAACCTTCCAGGTTGACCCTACTTGCCGATTCAGCCTATTGACTCGCCAAGTTCATGAATTCAGAAACCCCCACAATCGCGACTTGACTCGCCGAGTCACCCTGCGAATCGTCGAGTCCTTCAACTTTCTAAGTCCTAGTCCTGGTTCTGACCTACCCACCGAGTCACCGCCTTAACTCACTGACTCGACTCGCATCCAGAAGAGGTTAGGGTTTCGACCCGACTCACCAAGTCCAAGAACAGACTCGCTGAGTCCACCTTCATCAGTTTCATTCTGTCGATTTTAGCCTATTTGATTGCTTCCTAATCGTAGATCTAGACTCCTAAGGCTAGCTTCACACGTAAAGTTGCTAACTTTACGTGCATGCAAAGGGTTATGAAGCTAAAACACCAAATCCAAGTAAAATGGTGGTCTATGACATAGAATGGAGCCATTGATGGAAAAAGCTAACAACTCTGAGCTTCTAGAACCCAAAAGTACTCAGATGTGAAGTCTTCTTCGTCCTCAAAGGCACAATACACGGATTGGCCTTGGAAATGGCACAAAAGTGACAAAAATCTAACTAGGAAAGGGGATCTAAATGAGTAACAGCCAAGGTATGAGCTTCATACCTTCAAATGATCTGAAATATCACACCAACTCTGGATCTACTGCCCCTTCTTGAATCAAAAAAGGCTCCTTTCTTCCTTCTAGCTTCAAATCACCCAAAAAATGGCAAAGAAAGCTTGAGAGGACTTCAATGGGGGCTTAGGGTTTCGGGAGTATGTAAAGGGAGTGATGGAGGCTGGGGTGGAGGCCTGAAATGATGCTTAAATAGGGTACCAAGTCTGAAAATTAGGGTTTCCCAACCCAGACCTGACTCGTCGAGTCAGTCCCTCTGAATCGCTGAGTCAGACACTTAAATCTCGATGCGGAACCCGCTCAGACTCGTCGAGTTCACCCATGGATTCGATGAGTTGACCCCTTTGACTTAGGGTTTTCCTTTTCCTTTCTTGGTCTTTCGGATTTCGGGTGTTACAACATTAGTATGATTAACTAGTGCATAATTATTTACGCAACAACATTCTATGGTATTAAAGTCTCAAACATAACATAGCATATTCAACTTGGCCCGAATGCCTACCAAAACACGATTTGCATGGTCTACATATTACCATCTCATATGACCTACATGCCAAAACACACTATGTTTCCCATACCATTTCATTCTTATTTTATATAATTGTAATTAAATTGTTGCTGGATTTTATACTTAGAGTCTAATCACTATTCATGATCTCTTATTTTGATACTAATGATGATATCCTTCATCATTATCCACAACATAACCCAATAATGTATATCATACATATCACCCCCGGGTCTATTTCACCCCCGAGTCTATTTCGACTCATATGTCATCACTAGGTTGTACTGGGTCTATTTCACCCCCGGGTCTATTTCAATCCCGAGTCTATTTCAACTCATATGTCAACACAAGGGTGTATCGGGTCTATTTCACCCCACATACATATAGCAAACAGGCACACATGCATAAAAGCATACAATAAGAGACACAAAGACTAGAAGCACAAACAGACCCTAGTGTCATATAGTATAGTGAGAAAAATCACCTCATTCCACTAACAGTCAAATAGATGCTCGAGCTACTAGACAGGAAAATCCCCGCACTCAAAGAAGTTGAGAAATGAGAGTAAACTCTGGATCTACAAGCTCCAACTTGATGAATGGTTTTGAGCATTCTAACACTCCTATGGTGTACATGCAACCCTAGATGCTTTGGATCTATGTTTTCTCTATTATACATGCAAACTTTCAATTTTCCGAAGCATCATCCTAACTAGTATACTATGGAGTATATACACTACAAAAACTAGTTAGATGACTTGCCTTTGTTGTAGCTTGTTAACTTGGAGCTTTAAGAGCCTAGCACCAATAATGTGAATGCCTCAAATGGAACCACAAATCACCACCAAAAATTGGAGGACTTGAGAGAATGTTTCTTGTACACAAAATTGGATATGCTCTTTCAAAGACTTACTAGTCCCGATTTCATGAGCTAGAGGGTTTCTTATATAGTGTGTCATGATTAGGGTTACACTATGCAAACCCTAATGTGCATGACCTTCCACATTTCTTAGGCTCCATGGGTTTTAACCTCCATGGATATCCATGGGTTTAGCTCAACATAAAGAACTATGGATCATAACCCACTTTATGAGAATAAATGATTTACACAATCAATCATATATTTAATTAGTCTCTTTTGATCACAAAATTAATTCTTGATCAATACTAATTAAATAATATGATTTCATATTAATATATTAGAACTTATAATATATTAATAAATCACAAATAACCTCTTCTCAAAAGTCCATCCTCACAAAATGTTATGGTGAAATGCAACCCATATGGACCATGCTACTCTCGGGTCAAGTACAAACCAAATATAGTTATGGACTTAAACACCTTATCCAACACTTGATTAATGCTCCTTCACCAAACTTCTTCTTCTTCTTCTTTAAGGTTCACCAAACACCCACTATAACACAGACACACACACATAAGGGTTAAATCTCTCTAGATGAGTTAGGGTTTCAAAATAAGGCTCAAAGGGAGAAATGGAGGTTGGTAAGGAAAGAACCTTGGGGCATAAGGCTGTTTAAATATGGTCCAAATCCTAAAAATTAGGGTTTTTCCCTTGACCAACGGTCACAAAAAAGACACAAAATGGGTGTGGTAAGATCTTGATGCACGATGTTGTAGATAGATACGATAAAGATGGGTCAGTGTCGTGTTCACCGCACACTACGTTGCCAAATCAGCAACCACAACTGTAGTGTGCGGTTTGTGGTGCTGCCTGCCTAAAGACTCCTATACACTCCTTAAAGGGTTCGGTGCCTTTTTTGAGTTTCCAAATGTGAGCCCTAGTCCACATGTGACCCCAAATCCACAAGTTGTTGCACCTTGACAACTTTAGTTCTCAACCAACTTTCAGCTACATTTGAACTCTTTTTAGCATTTGTCACCTCTAGTCCTTAATTCACAAAACCTTGCAAGGACACAAAGCAAGTTAGTATTTATTATTTTATTAGCTGTCAACTCGTGTATTATACGAGTTTTAAAAAAAAATTATGAAGATCTACAAACTTAGGAAATTTAAATCTATGAAGAAAGAAAGAAAAATATTGAATTATTAAATTGTAATGTTTATTTTAAACTTTTTTATTTTCTTTTTTAATTTAATAAAATAAAAAATGAATTAAATGGATTAAATTTAGAAACTTAGAAATTAAAAAAAAAGTTGCATTAATTAAATTGATATGCATTTATTATTATATTCATTACAATTATTATATTTAAATATTATATGGAATTCAATAAAATGGCAAAAACCACAAAATAAAAGTGAGAAAACAAAAAATCAAAATTTTTAAAAAATAACATATGTCAAATACAATGATAATATGATATTTAGCAAAACTGATTTCTATTTATTAGGATAGATTTCATATTTTTCCCTTTCAATGCATTGGTTCAAATGATATAATTTATCACTACAGAAAAATTATTATAAATCTATAAATTCAAAAAACTTCATTCATCAAATTTACAATTAATGGGTCACAATATCTTATGTAACTCCTACAAAATACAATTATAGATGCAACATTAAATTTAATAGAATGCTTTCCAATAATGTAAGAAAATAACACATCAAATTGGTCAACAAAACTATAAAGAGTTGTATTATTAACACAATCAATGAAATTTATCACACACTTCAACCAATTTCCATGTCTAATATTTTCTTCATACATCAATTATTTAATTTCCAAATACTTGTATAAATTTTATTGGTATATCACTATTTGCATTTAAAATTTTCACTTAATAAAAATGAAATAAATATTGTAATATTATAATCACATGGAAACCTCACCTATAAATACCCATGTCCACATTGATTAACAGAATAAGCCAGAAAACCAAAAAGTGTTTTTCATTCCTCCCTCCTCATTCTCCCTCTCTTTCTCTCTCTGCAATTTCTGGTTTTTGCGAGGGAGATTGAAAATGGAGTTGAGGGTAAACAGTGATCTGCGTTTGTTAGTGGTGATTATTAGCATTCTATCGCCATTAATGGCACTCGGAGCAATCAAATCCAACGAAGCAATGATGGGGTGTGATCTGTTCGAAGGAAATTGGGTATTGGATCAAACATATCCACTCTACAATGAATCCACCTGCCCTTTCCTTGAAAAGGAGTTCAACTGCGTCAACAATGGCCGCCCTGACCGATTGTATCTCAAATACCGATGGCAACCCCATGACTGCCGGTTATCCAGGTACTTCCTCCATCTATCAATCTGATCATCTGAATGTTACTATTTATGTTGATAGTTACTGTTCATGTATGTTATTGGTGTATATCTGGGGCTTTGATGGCTATTGATGGAGGTTGGTGTCGACGGCCGCCATTGGTGATTGTTAATGGTTGTCGTTGGCGGTGGTTCGTTTTCCCTCCACCAAGAGTTGGTCCCCCACACTTGAAAATGGGTGGTGCTTCATAGCTGTCATTTGAGAAAGGGAATTTGTGTGTGCAATGTGTGTATTTTATTGGGTGAAACTATTCCTTTTCCGTTAATAACTTTTTAGTTATGGATTTGATTTGATTAAGACGTAATTTCTTTTAAATTTTAATATTTATTTATTATATTTAGAAAATATAGAAAGAAAGTAAACATATATCCGAAAGTTTAGAATTAGAATACTAAAACATACTAATATCCTTGCAATTGCTTCTCTGTCCAAAATCATTGATTATTGTTCCAAATACTTGTCTGTAAAATGAATAATTTATTCAATGATTAGATTCAAAACACTGTTTACCGGAAATTAATAATTTCATTATGTTAAATCATATGGTATCATGTGATTTTGAAAAACATGGTACATTAAATATCAATTATTATTAAGATATTAAAAAGTTTCCATAATTTATTTAATTATCTACAACGTTATATATTAATTTATATTTTGTTTTAAGTAATTAATTGTTTTTAATTAAAAAATAAACAGAAAAGCAGTAAAGATGAACAGTAGAGTAGCAATAAATACAAGAATATTTATCCATAATTTCAATCTCACTGTTTTTCTATTTCATAATAACTAGTGATTTAATCCTATAAAATCAATTATTTTGCGATATTAAAAAGTTACCAACTGTGATTGAATTTTTATTTATCCTTATATATTTTTATTTCGTACGAGTTTTAAATATTTATAATATTAAGATGGAAAATAATTTATTCATTGGTTTAGAATTTTCCACCGACATTTCTTGTGAGAGAGAGAAAAAATAAAATAATAAAAAGGAAATGATTGTGAACATGAAATTGAGGACATAGATCTCAAATGTGATTGGGGAAGGATGTGTTTGTTTTATGGGCAATTATTATATTACTTTCTCGAGTGTAGAAAAGTATAGTATTCATTTTGTGAAGTAATTATATATTTCTTAAAATGCGTTTAAACTTTAAATAAAAAAATATATTAGTAGTAAATTGTTAGCAAATATTTTAAAATTTTAGTACGGATAATGTATTAATAAAAATCCGACAAAAGGGTTATGTGAGGAAGGAAACAACGAAAAAAGCATGGCACAATATACGAGGTGAGTTGTCACGGAGTATGTCTTCTCGATCTTTACATCTTTTTCCTCCTATTTATTTCCCTCGCATATTTAAATCCAACATATTTTTTAAAATAATAGAGAATAACAGTTTATTTGTTTTTATAAAACAATATTATTTAAAAAGTATCATCATAAATCATAAACTGGTAATAAACTCTTCATATTGGTTCAGAAAGTATCGTTGAAATAATGGTATTAATGATTTGTTATGAAAAAAGTCATGTTTGCATATTTTACGACAATATTCTCTATATCTATGATTTGTTATGAAAAACAACAATACTTTGTTACCATTTATAACATTGACCCTATTTATAATTTTAACTGAGATCACATGGTATATCATACATATTTAATGAATAATCGAAGATGCCTTTATTAAACTATTCGTTTAAAAAAATATATAAAAAGTTTAATAAATGCTCAATTTATTTGGTATATAATATTAGATAATGAAAATAAAATATGGATAGTGATGGTTTTAGCCTTTATGGGACTAAGGTTGACACTAGAAATTAGTGGGGATGGATATGTGAGGTAGATTGTGAGAAAGAGCAAGATATACATTAATATCATTTTCATTGAAAAAATACAATGTATCTTTATAATAAAAAAATATAAAGTAAGAAAGTTTTCGTATCAAACACGGAAATATCTCGTAAAGTATGAATTATTAAAGTTTTTTAACTTGATATAGCCGAAATAAATATAACGATAAATTAATTGTGGGGTTTCTTAGATATATTAAGCTTGTCATTTCAAGTTCATTTGGTGATGGTTTGTGGTTGTGGGCACAAGAAATAGTTGTCTTTTATTTCGAGTTTCATGATGAAGAATTGATCGATACCAACCTTTTTTAATGCAATGAATATAGGTATGAAAGTTTAGGCATTCATATTTGACACCAAACTTTTTTTAATCAAACTTTTATAAACCAAAATTGATGTGATTTATAAAACATCTTCATGTGATTATACATGTGATTGGGTCCATTTTACAACTAGCAAATTCTTTTTGTATTTAGAAAGAAATTTTAGTCAAAATATAATGATGGTATACATGTCTTTACATGTTATAACATTGATAAAACACAATTCTTGTTTACAATGAATTGAAAGATTTTTATATTTGTGCTTCAAGTTGTCTACCAATATCCTTACTAAGTATATATAGTCATACATGTTATTTACAAATGCTAACTTATAACATGGTGGTCGAAAAGCATATCATAAGCGTATAAGAGATCTTGTTAATGAATATATTTTGTTGTGTTTGATATAAATGAAACTACTATAATCCATTATTAAGAATGTTAATTAATATATTCCCCTTGTTGTACTAGATTTGATGGTCGAAACTTCTTACAAAAACTAAGAGGGAAAACAATAATGTTTGTAGGAGATTCACTCAGTCGAAACCAATGGTTGTCGTTGCTCTGCATGATTCATTCATCAGTGCCAACTGCAAATTACGCTGTTAACATCTCCTTAATTCAAGACATGACCACCTACACATTTACGGTATATATGCCTTATATCCATTTATATTCAAATTCAACTCTTTTTTATTTTTTTTTTAATCTCAAAACTAAAACTATCTTGAAATGTTTTGTAATTAGTTTTTATGATAATTGTAGGATTATAAGGTGAAAGTAATATACCATCACAACTTGTACCTAGTAGATATAGTGAAACAAAAAATTGGGAGGGTGTTGAAGTTGGATACTTTGACAGCTGGCAAGCTGTGGTTGAACGTTGATTACCTTGTGTTTAATACGTGGCATTGGTGGAATCGCAGAGGAGCAAGCCAACCGTAAGTTTTTATTTTATTTGTATTTTAATTTTAATAAAAAAAATTATTACATCTTTCGATAATTTTTTTTTTTTTTTTTTTATATATAGATTTGATTATATACAAGATGGAAGTCATATATACAAGGACATGGATCGAGTAGTCGCTTTTGGAAAGGCCATTACTGCATGGGGTCAATGGGTTGATAAAAATGTTATTCAGAATAAAACAAAAGTGTTTTTTCAAGGAATATCGCCTTCTCATTATAAGTACGTTTATTTATTTATTTTTCATTAAGTTTCATGGTACAATTCGAAATGCATCAAGTACAACTCACGAAGGAAAATTAGGTCAAAATTTAAATCTGAAATGTTTTGGAATTACACAGTGGCACCGATTGGGGAGAACCGAAGGCAAAATCCTGCTCCGGCGAGAAAGTTCCTCTTCTGAGCTCCACCTATCCCGGCGCTTCGCCGCCGGCGTTGAAGGTTCTCAAGAACTCACTCAAAACCATCAAGAAACCGGTGACTTTGCTCGACATTACTAACCTTTCACTGCTGAGGAAAGACGGACATCCGGCGGCGTACGGCTTAGGAGTGGTGGATTGCAGCCACTGGTGCCTCGCCGGAGTTCCAGATACATGGACGCTTTTACTTTACAATCTTATGTTTTAGAAAATGAATATTATATATTCAATTATTGGATTTTATATAGAAAATAATGAATATGGTATAGCATAAAATATCCCAAATGGGTATTTCCTGATTAAGGGGCGTTATTGTAATTTTGTTTAAAAATATATACAGTTGTCATTGAATTAAATGGCAAAATTTTCCATTCTTTTTATATTTTTTATAAAGAAATAAAGTTTTATAGTTAATATTGAGCTTCGAGTTGTCTGATTCAAACTCATGCAACCATGAGACTGGACGTCGTCGACGACGACCAATGACACTTTCTGTTCATCTTTGTCCCCAAAAAGTAGAAACTCAAAAAGACGAAAAGGTGAAAGCTTTGAATTTGGTTACGATGATGTCGTTGTCGATTACTTATAAATCGCGTTTGCTGGTTCATCATCGACGCTGTGATTCTGTGTAAATGTTATCGCCACCACCATTGCCGGAAATTGTCCTCACAGCCTCTCCTGAAGGTCCGTTCACCGCCTACGATCCATACTCTGGAACTGTAATCGGTCGGTTCAACGACGACCGGTGTCCTTGTAACGGCATCTGCATTCTCGGAAACGACCTATTCGCCGCCTCTCATGTTTCGCCGGAGACTCGTGCAGGCTATGTCCGAGTCTATTACTGGTGGTCAACGTCTTGTACACAGAGCGTTCCTCTTCCAGAACCTGTAGCTCCACTTGTTGCTTCCGTTGACGGATCGTATGTATTTTCCGGAGGAATTTCAGGTCAGATCCATTCGGTATCCATACATTCAGGAGATGTAATTAGGTCATTTCCGGTTCATGAGAAGCCTGTATCTTGCCTTGCGATCAATTGTGATGGATCATTGCTTCTCTCAGGAAGTGATGATGGAACGATTGCTGTTCTTCCTATTTTCCTGCTTCTGGATGCTTCGTTTGATACAGAATCGACATATTCCCGTTTCAATAGATTCACCGGACATGAGTCACCGGTGACGGGATTAACCACAGGGGTGGGAAGATCCGGTGGATTTATGATCTCTAGTTCCTTGGACTGTACGTGTAAGGTGTGGAGCCTCGTGAACGGGATCCATCTACAAACGGTGAGATTCCCCAACGAGGTGTGGTGCATGGTGTTGGATCCGTCGGAGACGGAGTTTTTCGCTGCCGGAGTAGATGGAATGATATACAAAAGAAGGCTTAAAGTAGAGACCAGAAAGAAGCTTGCAGAAAGTGGAAAGACGGTGGTGTGGGGCGGGATGCACGGCGGAGGAGTGGTGGCGATGGAAATGCTGAGCTGCGGGAGGATTCTTTTAACGGTTTCTGAAAATGGTGAAATTTGTGTATGGGAGTTGGAGAGTGGTAAGATGATACGTGGATTCGGTGAGAAGATTGGAGGTGTTAGTGGAGTTATGGTGGCGAAAGGTGGTTGTGGTTTTGGAAAGAGATGGGTTGGAAGTGGGGAATGCGGTGGTTATGGCGGAGGTAAGGAGTTGGATAAGGCGGTGAAGGAGGTGGCGGAAATAGAGAAAGTGTTGAAAGGGGCGGTGGAAGACCGGAGCAGGGCGATTAGTAAACTTGAGTCAGCAATTGAGATTAACGACAAGATGCTCAAACTCATGCTCCGGGAGGCCAAAGCAATTGCCAAATATAACGACTCCAATAATAATTAGAATTTAGATCCGTTATTTTAATGAATTTATAATGGATGGGTTATATGATGTTATATGGCATGATTAGACATAATACCTATAAAAAAATAGAAATTAAATAGTCCATTCTCCTATCTATTTTAAAGGTTGATAAGTATCATTAAATTTAATTTAAATTTGATTGAGATTTTAAATTTGTACACTTATCATCATCTTAAATAAGTAGGAGGATATTTAATTTCTCATAAAAAATATTAAGTTAATTTTTAATCTGTGTAAGGTATATAATATCATCATATCAGAATATGTGATTGTTGAATTGTTCGGTATTAACTAAATCTTTGAAATTATATAGACATGAATATCCATATGTTTCTGATCTAAAGGAAGAAAATAACAGAAGATTCATGTAGAAGTGAATGTGAAGATTTCTCTAGCCAATGCAAGCTACAAGACAATAACAAATTAGCATATGGGTTCAAAGGCATATGAAGTATGAAGCCATGGATGAGGTCATGGTTCACAAAATATTGCAAAACATCAACAATGACACATATATTGTCGACCTTCCTAACACCATGTCTATTTGCAAATTGTTCAACACATTTAATCTCTAAAGGTACTTCCCATAAAAGAGCTAGTTGGTTGAGTTCATCTCAAAGTGGTGGTGGTGGGGGTGGGGGCGGGGGTGGTATGGAGCATATTTAGAAATTTTTAGAGGTTTTTATGGATAAACAGAAGAACCGAAGGGGAAGAAGACTTAAGAAGCAACATAACTTCAAGGATCAATGATCTCAATGGCTATTGACTAGAATCATGAAAACTCTCAAAGAATCCAAATTAAAGTTTATTTTTTGACATCAAAAGTACATATAAGAAATCGGTGTATTGTTTTTTTTGAAGTTGTTCATTTCTTACTAATAATGAGTACGATCACCTAGGAAAACAAACCAAATATTTATAATAGTGATTGAACCTGATCTTGAATTTGAATTTGATTAGGAGTCCAAACCAAAATTTATTGGCATCTAACCAATGTTTTGAAAACCGGACCGGAGACCGAATCGGTCGTCTTACCGATTCGATGGTTCAGATGGTCCAACCGGTCAGACCGGTCTCAAAAACCGGGAAAACCGGATGATGTCATAATTATATTTAATTATATAAAAAATGCAAAAAATAAAAAAATATATTTTTTTTAATTTCCGGTTTTGCCGGTTCAACCGGACCGGTTTTTACCGGTTCAACCGGTTTTTACTGGTTTTCACCGGTTCAAATGAATACCGGTTTTTTGGCATTTAAGAACCGGATCCGGGACCGGTTCCCGGTTGAACCGGCCGGTGCGGTCCAGTTTTCAAAACATGGCATCTAACTATAAAGAAATCCAAAAAAAAAAAAATTTAATACTAAGAAATAAAAATAAAAAATATCATTGGGTCCCTTGAAGATCACGAATGTCTAAAAAACATCTTATATAATGAAGAAGTTTGATCTACCATGTGAAATTCATTTCATTATGATGCCGAAGGCAAGTGTAGTCAAATTATATTAGGTGTTGTTTGTTTTTCCGAAGTGAAACTGTCTGAAGTCTGCGAACCACCTCTGCAGCCTCTACAGCAGAAGAGGTGGACCAAAGTGCTGCAGATTGTAATGAGAAGCATGTTTGTTTTTTTAACGGTTGCAGACTGCTGTAGATATTAAAAATTTAAAATAAAATAATTTAATAAACCGAGAATAGTTTTTTAATACCAAAAATTTAATAATTGTAGTCTTAAAATATTGAAATAAAATTCAAACAACCAAATTAGTCTTACAATAACATTTTTAAATAAAATTCATACAATCAAACTTTAATAATTTTCATTCTATATTTTGCATCAATTGTTCGGCAATTTCATCTCTTAACTGGGTCATATATTCACGATTCGCTGCAGTACCATGTGTTGGAATCTCATCTTCATCATTATCAACGACTGCATTGTTATTCTGAACCGAGACATTTGGTTCGTCATATCGTGCAAAAAACTCATCACGTAGTTCCTCTCTTCTTATATAATTATGAAGCGCAAAGCATTCTAGGGTAATGTTTCGTTGTGTAACCAATGAGAATGGTGTCATCCTCTTCAATATAGGGAATCGTGCTTTCAAGACACCAAAAGCACGCTCAATGACATTCCGAAGTTTTGCGTGTGCATGGTTAAATTTTTCTTTATTCGTTAATGCACGTCTTCGACGGAAATCTCCAAGCCAATACCTCACATTATGGTACGGTGCCATAAAACCTCGAATGTTTGCATAAGCGGCATCACAAAGATAATATTTATCTGTAAAAAAAAAAGTCATTTATTTTTTCAAGCTAAGATAAAACTATTTAAATAACCATAAATTTACCTGGTGGTGGAAGCAGGAATGGTGCATGTGGATTTGCTAATGCTTCTGATAAAATTCTAGAATCGTGTACTATCCCTTCCCAACCGACCATAACAAACGTAAACATCATGTTGAAGTCACATATTGCCAATACGTTTTGGTAACAATCGCTTTTTCCCTTACTTATATATAAACCGTTTGTTTGCAGGGACAACAACATGTATCAAGGTGCCATCAAGTGCACCAACTGCTCCCTTGAACACCCGTTGTAGCCTCCTATTATGTCCATAATGTTTGGATTCAGATTAAAAGAAGTTGGCACTATAATGTCATGTGCGAAAAGCAGCATTTTATCCAACACTTCATGAAAAGACTTATGAACTGTTTGCTTTGAGTGTTGAAATATCCGCTTGATAATCACATAACGTTGGCTATGACCGATCATCATAAAAAACATAGCCATCTTCTCCTCAACCGACACATGTTTACTATCATTTAACACGTAGTTTACTCTAAAATGAGCACCCAGCCGGATAAATGATTCACGGGACATGCCTAGCACTTCAACACATTGTAGAGGATTACGGTTAAGTAACTCTAACGTAAATTCATGTCTCGTCATTTCCGAATCGTTGCACCGCACTCGTTTTACACCCCTTTTCAAAAAATAGCGGACGTACAATTACATTAGAATTTTGATTAGTATCTTTTTGTCGTGATCCATTAGGATCCTATTAATCAACACAAGTACCAAATATAAAACTCAAGTACCAAATAACATAACCAAATAACCAAAATATATAATCACATAGTTCAAGTTCCAAATAAAGAAAATATAAAACTCAAGTACCAAATAAAAAATATAAAACTCAAGTACCAAATAACATAACCAAATAACCAAAATACATAATCACATAGTTCAAATTCCAAATACTACAAATAACATTCAAGTACCAAATAACCACATACTACAAATAACATCAAGTACCAAATAACCAAAAAACAT